GGGGAAACACGGTAGCAACATTCTTAAGTGTCCCAAAGAAGAATGCAATTGCAAATTTTTTGGGAACTGAAATTGAAGAATGGCTAAGTATACAGTCAGAAGAATCAGTTGTGGAAACTAAAACAGATGCTGCAGTCATTAAAAGTGTTGTTAATCCACAAAAGTCACAATATATAGAAGATGAAGACAAGGATGAACCAAATGGAAAACAACAGCACATGTGGTAACAAGCAACTAAATTCGTTACAAAATTTGTTGAATTTGCAGAGAACAGCAGACATTATAATGTATCATAAGTGATGAACCTTCATATTGTGTTGAATAATTTTTACACAAAAAATGAACAGTTACATAAGCAAGTGAATATTAGAGACATGTTTGCAAGGGCTCATCAGAAATTTAAGCATTGTTCTTTACCATCATCATCAATGATATTCTGATCTAATATCATTCTTAAGTATGATATTACATATATAAACTGATATAAACATCATGAAAATGATGTTTATATCAGTATACATGTTACCGCTAAAGCTCGAAATCCGTTAATGTGCGCATTACCTAGCTAATCTGCAGATTAACTAGGGAGATCCATTAAAGCTGCGAAAATTATTCCATTTCTCAAATTACCTAGGTAATGTTCAGATTATCTAAGTAATCTGCAAATTATCTACTAGGCACTCGGTAAAGTGAAAATAATATTTTTGCTGGAACAACACCAACGTTTCTGTACGCTTAAATTAACATAATGTTATTTATTTAATTTTCAATATCTAAAGAATCAAGTTAATACAATCAACAAATTAGTTGATTGAATCAATCATCAATCAATTAAAAAAACTTTAATACAAAAATCAAACGGTTTAAAATATTACTACAATTAGGGAAATGAATTTGCAAAACATATGATAAAATTGTACTTACTTATTAGTGCAATCTAAAGATTGGTGACACTTTGAATTACGTAGCAATTGGTTTTTGCGACAAGCACGCCTATTTGTGGTACATTTAGATTTGCAGTCACATTTTCTGAAACCCTGCCCAGTACCAAGGGATTGTTTTATTGCTGTTTGACGTAAAGATATTTCTACAGCAGGGACATCCATCTTCTTTCGTTAAAAATCTCTCTTTGCAAACACTGAATTCAGATTTTGCATACAATTGTTTTAAAATACCTGTTTTAGTATCAAGTTTATAAAAGCCATCCTCTGTTTTACTAAGAACCACAGCTAAAATTGAACGTGCATCAGTTTTTGCTCTGTCTTCTTCGGGTACTTTAATTCTCACAGCGAAACCTTCATCGACGTTTGGGTGCTTTGCATTAGAAACTGCTAACATTTTCTTTGCTTGCTTTTCTAAACATTTCTTGGCTTCATCACGCTGTATTTTCTGATCCATATTCTTTTTACAGATGATGCACAATACATTCTTACCATACCCTTCCTCTTTAGGATCTACTTCACCACAAACTGCGTGAACAAACATATTACACGATTTACACTTGTGAGCACTTGATGCTGCTTTTGAGCAAACAATACAGACTATGTCTTGTATAGTGCTCTTTACAGGCTCCGTACGAAACTGTGATGGCGATTCTGCTGAAGTTGAGAGTAACTCAGTGATGACTTCTTCAACTTGCAGAGGCGATTCCTTGGAGGTGCAGGGTAACTGAATATTCTTCGTGACTGCATCATCAATCAACGGTATAGAAGGCAGTTTAAGATTACTATCGGTAAATTCTTGTATTTCTATAGGTGATTCTGTAGAAGCGGGGGATAACGGAATGTCCTCTTGAGTAAGATTTGACTGTGATCTCATAATCACAGTCTCTTGTGAATCTTCTAATTTTTCAAGGTCTTCTTCAGTTTTTATCGAATGTCAAACAATTCTCCGGCATGGACAAACTTTTTCAAACCTTTCTCGCGCATCTGACAACGGCTCAATGAGTTTTTCACAGCCTCGTACAGTCAACACATCACACCTTTGAATTATTTGATAATCTCGAGATGATTCTTTCTTCTTGGAAACTTTTATTTGCTTTACATCTTCAATTATGGAATCATACTTTGGTTTGTTATTAAAACACTACGTATTATATTTTAAATCTTCGCTAAAGAGGTTTGCGAAGAATCTTTTCTTGATTTTACTCACCAATTCGGTGCTTGCTTGCATTCTAGGATTTAAATTTATCTACGTAAAAAGAAGGAGTGGGGAAAGGAAGTGAAAGAAACAAACTTTTGAACTTTAACGATACGGAAGCCGTTAATGTGCAGATTACCTAGATACTCTGCAAATTACCTAGGTAATTTGAGAAATTGAACAATTTTCGCAGCTTTAACGGATCACCCTAGTTAATCTGCAGATTAGCTAGGTAATGTACACATTAACGGATTTCGAGCTTTAGCGGTAACATACATTCTGATATAAACATCTGAAATAATCTGATATAAACATCATGAAAATGGGAAGACCAAGACAACATCATGTACTAGGTAAAACTAGTTAGCTCATGCAGAAATATGCTTGTTGCATCTCTTTTTTTTTTTTTAATTCTTTTTTATCATCCTTACTTTTATTTTTTAATCTCCTTTATTCATATAATTTTATTTCATTTAAGTGTTTTTTACAAGTACAATTTTTCTTTTATATCTTAATCACAAAAATAACGATGTATATTAGTAAACTAGTTGTATGTATTATTATTTTTGTAAATATATTTTAGTTTTGTTTTATCTTACTTATTGTTGAATTATTTGTGTAGTTTTTAATGTGGGTATAATTGTTAAAAGGGGGTAAAGTCAACTGTTTACAGACATTTCCTTTAATTGTATAATAAATAAATATTTAGCACACTTGGAATCAATAATTATCAAGGAAACACTACAGTATATTATTGTTCATGTACCTGTACTTTGATAAATATAGATGTACGGTGGTTTAATTATCTTATTATTATATAATTGAGATGGGTTGATAATAATAATTGCAGAGCCCAAACGGTTAGGAGTTGCAAGTTGAAATTTGGTATACAGTTAGGGCACATTATGAGAATGCACACTAAAGAAGGGATTTTTGGAAATTTCCTCTGTGGGGAGAGGGTTAAGGATTACTCTGAAGAACTCAGCTTCTACTGTACTATTTTAGATGTGGGTTTTTTTTTTTGCAGGAAATCAAACATATTTTTCAACTCATCTAAAAATTCTATAATTAGTCTCAGAAGAGGGGGGACCTAATTCTTGCACCCAGTGAAAATGGGTAGATCAGCTATAATCTAATAATCTTAATCTTAATGCCAGGCTCGTCTGCTAATATACAATAAGTGTACAAAGCACAAAGTAAGAATAGTGTTCTTGTTTCAAGTCAACCAAGAGTAGGAATAGACTGACATGTCATTTCAATTTTTTCCAAACAATCATAAAAGGCAGATTTGTACAATTTTATACACAAAGATATCTGAAATTGTATCCAGAGAATCGAAAAAACTGGAAAAACTTATGCCATCTGATAAGGCAGCATATTTGATAAATCAGCATGTCAAACCTGATGATGTCAGGTTAACAGAATTTCACTGTAATTAGTAGTCTTATAAAGTCATTTATATTTTATAAAATAAAGAAAATAAATACATATATAAGACTTGCAACTTATCACTACGTCAAGAACCTGTTACCAGTGTGCTTCGTGAAAATACAGTTTATCACAAACACTTTTGAATTTTTGAACAGTTCTTCTTCAGGTGAAATTTGATGTAACACTTCAAAATAGAATGTGAATATTTAAAACAAATTGAATACCTGTTAGACAAAATCCATTGCAATGGGCATGCGCTTTTGTGGGTGGATGGTAATTAAGGGTTGGCTTCTATGAGGGTCTGCCAGGCTACCGATAGATTGAGTTCCTCTTTCCAGTTGATGCAGGTAGTACTGCAGTTAGCTTTGTAAATAGCTATGGTTTCTAGCTATTTAAGATGTTCCTAGTGGGGTGTACTGATGATGATCTCAGCCTTGTCAAATTCTGCCACGATGTCTGGGTCAGATGAATACGTGGCAAGGGCAGTGGTGTGTCGTCCATGCTGTAAATATGCTTGGTGTTCTCATATACAGGTACTTAGAGCATTTGGTAGAACCAATATATAACAAGTCTTTGTCCCATCTGTTGTCATTAAGCCAGATGGAGTAGACACCAGAAAGTCTGTTATGATCAGGAGAGTCTTTTCTGTTCCAGAGAATGTCGAAGATCATCAGACATCTCCTGTATGCTATCTTGATGTAATAGGTAATGGTAACAGGTTCTTGACGTAGTGATAATTTTTACCCCGGTGTTTAGGTGTTGATGAACTTTGTATTTAGACTTGAAACTTTCATATATTATAGAACTGAAAATTTAATTGTAAAATATCAGTTCTAAAATATTATTTAAATAAATTATGGAATTCAACAATAATAATAAACACATTAAAACTTTGATATTCAAAAATTTTAATTTTTTCCAGTGAAATTATTTCTTCATTGTCTATATACTTCACAAATTGATCTAAAATTTTTTTTCAGATGAATTTATTTCCAATTTTTGTGTTTTAAAAGTGATTATTATAAAATAATCATGAAAAATGAAATGTTTGTAATTTTGCAGTATTAGTATTGAACAAATTAAAACAATTACATGAACTTTAATAATAATTCATGTGGATTGTGAAAATTGATACTCAGTAAAAAATTAGATTAAAATGCTATCTATGACTGCAAATAATCAAACTTTGGATTTTGAGTACTGCTTTGTTTAGCATAAATAAGTGAATCCCCACATTACGTATTGTGTGTGTAACAGCCTAAGTATAATTTTATTTGCCAGTTAAAATAATTTATTAAAGAATATCCTTAGTATTTAATTTAATCAGTTGTTATGTATATAAAGTTAATAATTATTAGTTTACTTCTAAAAATTATACATTCTATTATATAATTATATATATAAAGTTGAAGTAATTTTTTTTCTTTCAGTATTACCTGCTTCAGCTATTCAGTTAGCTTCTCAGGATGGCAGTATACAAGGTCTTCAAACTATTGCCATGGCCAATTCTGGATCAGGTACTGCTGGTACTATTGTTCAATATGCCCAGGGTCAGGATGGACAATTCTTTGTCCCAGGTAGATAGATGTTATTGTCATAATTTTTTATATTTATAAAATTGTAATATATGATATCTTGCTAATTATTTAAATATTTACTAGTGACAGTATCTGCGGCAGACCTTCAGGCCTACCAAATAAGGACTACAGGTTCAACTGGTTCGGGTGGATTAACACATGGAGTCGTAATGGCTCCTTCCAGCAATCTTAATCAACAACATACAGTCGTGGAAGATGCTTCTAGAAAAAGAGAGCTACGGTTGCTTAAGAACAGGTATTTTCTTTTTAAAAGTGAATTAAAATCTGATATCATTTGTTTAGCATATGATTATTCAGAAACTAAATTGTCATCTGAATAATCAATTACAGTAATCAAAATTCTGATAATTTGATTATTTAACAAGTGAATAATAATACTTTTAATGAAATTTTATTTAAAAATTTTAATATAAATTAAAATAAATGATTTCCTATTTTTTGTTAAAAAACCAACTACTTCAAAAATCTGTTCCTTTTGTTTTATTTGGAGGTCTTACAGTTGTTTGCCATAAGTACTTAGTACTTACAGCAATCTTCTACCTAATGTTATTGAAGTTTCTTTTATCTATTTTTAAAGCAAATTCTCCTGTCAAATGCTTTTTTAATCTTCAATCAGACTTTTATCAAATTGTCATCCCAAGATGATATAACATCCCCTGCCACTTAGAGAAATTAAGAGTTACTACAATAAATTGTTTATTTTTGTTTTCTATTTAAAATTAATTTTTAAGAATTTAGCATATTCAGAGTTTTATTTCAAATCTATAAAATAACAAAAACTTTTACTTCTTAAATTTTGTTGATGCTAACAAAATGATAAATATGTTTGCTGAAATACTTTAAATTTGGTGAGTCTAATACAGAAACATTTGGTCAAAATAGTAATATTTTAAAAAACAAAGCAGATGTTTGATATAAATCATCCCATAGAATTTCATGTGTGTATATAATTATTAAAATAATTGTGAAATTAGAATTTATATGAATGCAGTTTATATCGGTTGTCCAATAATTTGTAGTTCACATCTGCTTTAAATAATATTGTAAACATTTTGGATATTCTCTGATAAGTTTGCTAAAAAAAATCATTTTTATCACTGAAAAATACATTTTAATAAGTAAAATATTGAAATGTGCATATTTTGTAATAACTTCTAATGTTTGTAATTTTTATAGGGAAGCTGCAAAAGAATGCAGAAGGAAAAAGAAAGAGTACATCAAGTGCTTAGAAAATCGTGTTGCTGTTTTAGAAAATCAAAACAAAGCCCTGATTGAAGAATTGAAATCATTAAAGGAACTTTACTGTCAAAAAACAGAATAGAGTTTATATTGACAAAAGAAAGTAACTTGTCAATTATAAATTATATATATATATACATAAAATATATATTATATAAATATATGTGTACAGACGAGCTTCGTGAAGACAACGCACAGATCATAACTTGTGGTAATTAGATTGAAATAGACTAAAGTATGATCATTTTGTACATCCAGTATCTCGGGTGGAATGTTTACTAGAAATCCGAGCGTCCAGTGATCGTACAAGCACGGTTCTGTACAGTTTTAAATGACAATTAGATTTTTGGTGACAGCCAATCACCATGTGTACAGAAAACAAATTATTATTGTGTTAATTATTGATGATACATGAAGTTATTCAGACACCTAGAGTGAACTATTCTTGATCCAATTGGGAACATCGATTGGACTCCTAAGAAAATTGTATAAAAGTGTGTGAAGTCGAATTATAAAAGTTAGTCGGAATAAAAAAAAAATATATATATATATATAAATATATATATAAACAAATTTATAAAACAGTCCATAAAGAATGTGCTCATTTTCAACCTGTGCCTTGCATTCTGCTTTATTCTGTGTAATAATGAAATGTCACTTAAGACATTCACTGTGAAACAATTTATTTCTCAATAAATTACAATATAGATACAATTATTTAAGATATTAACAAAAAAAGAAAAAACTATGAAAACTATCGTAAGAGTACACTGATAACAAAGCACACTTTGTATACAATTAAAAGTAAATGTGCACTCTCCAAATTTAACATGTAAAAATTTTAATTTATCACACTGTATCATATATATTATGTACACATCTAAACAAAGTACACTGAACATTTTTGTAGAAAGTTGGAAAAGAAAAATTTATATTTAATATAACAGATTCAACATAGTTTTACATTCCACATAATACTTATTTTGAAATATTAAACATTTAGTGCATAATAAGAAATATAAATACTTTCTTTTAAACTATTCATGCTAAAATAAATTTCAATTTACTTTCTTATAAAGCTAAATCTGCACAAAAATGGTTACGGTTAAGACGATCTACATCTTAATCCAGCGAGTATTGTGTACGTAGAAGAAATGTTTTAAATCGAAAAAAAATAAAAAAAATGTGCTCATATTTATGTATGTGTGTTTAAAATAATATAAAGATTTCAAATAAATATGCTTGTTAAAATATTTCCGAATAATTTTGATTCTTAATACACACTATGTTGTGAATTTAATTATTTTAAGTCCTTAAAAAATGGTTCCTCAAAAAGTTAAATTGGTGCAACATAGGTAATAAAAAATTTTGGATAAGTTATTCTACTTCTGTAAAAAAAATTAAACTATAAATTTATATGCTAATTTTTAAATTTTAATTGTTTTAGTTTTACTCTGCTCTTCAATAATATATTAAAATATACTTTTAATAGGTTTATTGTAGTGATTAAAAGTAGTCTCTCTGTAATCCAACTGGCAGATGTTGGATTACTGGATTTTGTATATAGGGGAGACTGGGTTGTCACAGTTTTTAGTTATTTCTAGTTTTAGGGTCTATAATATCAGTTTAGTTTTAAGTGAAAATGCACCTACATATATTTTGATTGGTTTATAATAAATATATGAGCATTTAATTTTTTGTCATAGTTTTCTTAGAAACTGTGTTGCCCTTAATGGGGTATGTTATCACGAGACAGAAATGCGAGAACTGAGGTAGCCTCAGTTCTCGCATTTCCTGAGATTATTTTGGCTATGTTAAATTATGCTTAATATGACCATTCTATAAAGAAAATATACTACTAATTTACTATTATTTATTCTGTGGAAGGCAATAACTCTAATCTTTACATATCTGTACATAGCTCATGAGACCAATTTTTACATCTGGTGCACTGAATGCATTTTTCCTTGGACCAGCTATAACTCTCACCACAAACCAAACAGAAAGTTTCTTCTTCCTCTTCTGATGAGTCAGTCTTAGTGACAACTTCGATGTGCGACAATTTGCCCCAAATGAACTTTCTTAACAAATTGGTTCACAGTTTCTAATTTCAAGATATACATTATGAGCAATCAAATTTTCTATCGCTTTTTTGAGTTATGTCAGTTTTCTTCTATTTTTCAATTATGTCATAAAAATTTACTACATTTTTGTTTTGATTATGTGGAAGTGTGTCACAAAAGTAACTTGCGTATTCGGCCACTAGGGAGCAGTTATGTGGGAGATAAGTGATATTCAATTAAACTTTGGTTAAATCTTTGTGTGGGATTTTCTCAAAACTAGTAATTTTGAGTTGTGCCAGTTTTCTTCCAAAGTAGCAATATGTACATTAAGGACCCACCTAATAGTTATAGAAATACAGTTGTTACTCACCATTAACTAATTCAAGTTTTAAAACAGCACAAGAAATGGCACATCAAAATTTACGTGAATCATTGTAAATCTAACTGCCAACTAATGGAACACAATTCAACAGATCGACAAAGAAATGTTTAATTTTATAATGTAGGCAAACGGTAAAGGAAGCTATTCCTACATGACATGACCGTTCAGTTTTGATTATATAGGCAATATTTACACTGACAACTAGACCCGGTCTTCCCTACCAGATAGTAAAAAACTCATCTGGTTCACAGGTATCATATCAATCACAACTGTGACTGTTTTGTCGACCACATGTGCAATAAACAACTAGCGACTGACAGTATATACCTAAATTAGTCTGTCACAGTACATTGACAAGGGATAACACAAAATGTTCATGTGTGCCGACCGGTGAGTAACAGATTATAGAGACTATACAGCAGTGTTTCCCAACCTTTTTTGTGCTATGCCCCACCTAAGCCTTTCTAAAATTCTTATACCCCCTAACATATACAGCAGCTATATGGTTAATTAACTTAAACTCTGGACAAGTCCATTTTCGAATTGCCCCCTGTGGGGCATGGGCTCCACTTTGGGAAACACTGCTCTACGGTATATTTCTTGGAAATAAAGTATTATATTGTGATGACAAATTTTCAAAATGAAAACTACTCAAATCATTATGCAGATATCTCCCATATAACACGTTTAGTTAGGTTCCGGAAAAGTGCTGCATTGTGCTAATCCATGCTATACGAGGCCTTTTTTTGCTCATTTTGAGCAGTAAAGGGCCTAAAACCACAAAAAAAAAATCCATGCTATATGAAACAAAGGACTAATACAAAACATTTGGTTATGTTCCAAAAGTTAGCAAAACTGAACTATTCTTTTTTGTAAGTAAGAGAAATATGTTTGTTAATTAATTATCAATCACTTTAATAATCAAACGTATAGTACAATATATTGTATTATAATGTACTTTTATCCAAATTTTTGTGATTAAAATTAATGCAATGTGAAGAGATTCATTATTCAAATAAGAGTATTAGAATCTAACCAATAAGTATAGTATAAAATATTGCACATAAGTAGTGAAGAAAACATTAATATTAAACACCATTAAACGAGGGTGTGTTTTGGTAAAATTTCATCTGAGCTTTTCTGAAATATCAGCAATATCTTGATTTATCTCTACTCTTTTTCATAAAATCTATTTTCATTTGCTTGATTTGCCTAAGAGATAAAAGATTTGCTTGCATTTGCATAAAAAGATTATAGATTAAATGAAAAGTTACTAAATTTTTAAAACAAAACACAGCAACAGTCATTTGGGTTCATTTAGAGTACAGGTAACCCCCGTATAACACGGCACTTCTATAGCACGGATTCGCTCTAACATGGTTCGAGAATTGGTACCATCCCCCGTATAACACAGTACTTTTATAGCACGGATTCACTCTGACACGGTTCGAGAATTGGGTAAAACCCTCGTACAACAGGAAATGTAATAAATTTTTACATACTTAACTAATAATAGTTCACGAAAATTATTNCATTTAAAAATAGGGAAACCCTGTACAAAAAGTCACAAATTCTCAAACCGTGTTGTACGAGAGACATCTGTGTTCAAATAATTTAAAATTTTCAAAAATTTTGTTTTTAATAATTACTGTATTACGCATTGTTTATATATGTATAGGATCAGATTATTATTTATATCATGTATTGTATATATTGTGCATCAGTAGCAGTAGAACAATGTTTGAAGTACTGCTATAACAACAATTTATTGCAAAAACAGGGTTTTATTTACACCAGTTGGTAATTAGATGATTTTCAGTCTCAAACAATGCCCATACATGCTCATGAATCAACAATGAAGTGTCGTGTAGTACTTCAATGTCCTGCTACTACTGATTCACCCTCATAGTATAATTGAAAAAACTATAAAATATTTTAATTTTTTGAACTTGAATTTTGTATTATTGAAATAACAGTAATTCAAACATAGTTTTAACATGGTAACAGTTCAATGTTAATATTTAAAAACATTAACTTTCATATGAAAAACATTTTTGTAATTGTAGCAAAACAACAGGATGTATTTTGCATCTTATTATTTTTTACTTTTACCAAGTAAACTGATACATTTCTACCATTGAATATTCTGTAAATGAGACATTATATAATGCCTCGTTTACAATAAAAACAATTTAAATGCAAAATACTTGAAAATATGTAAATAAAAAAATCCCAATATTTCTGTTATTATTAATTTGTTGTTTATTTATTTGCATTTTATAGTTCATATTGTGTCCTTGCAAATTGTCATTGTACTTTATTTGTTGATATTTTGTTAAAATAATTAAAAAGCAAATAATGAACTTAAAGAATAAAACTAGAATTTCATTAGGAAAAAATGTTTTTATTCTGAAAAGTCAATACAGTAATTTCATTTCAATGGGCATTCATATTCAGACAAAGAATTACAATGGTGACAATTTGAAAAAGCATTACTCGAACATATACAACTTCCAGATTTATTATGGCTTTAAATTTCAAAAACTATAGAAACACGTATTGCATATATTACTGTTATTATTATTATTGCAATATTACAACATTTAAATGAAATTTTACAATATTGTTACAATATCATTGTTAAAGATGCAATTCAAAACAGAATGCAATTATTTAATTATAAAAAAAATTTGACCCTGTTATTTATCTAATACTGACATTCTTTAAGTTATAATAAAAGAAACAATATTTTATTGTAACAAATTAGTAATATATATTTACAATGCAATAGCGATGCAAGTTTATTTGAATGTTTTGAATTCCAGTTAGAAAAATAATTTTGCTGTATTCATTGAAGTTAAAATGATAGTCGATAGGGGCATTACTTACTAAAACAATTTTAATAGGGCTGGACAAGCAAGCCATATTAAATTTGCCTTACCATACAATGCAACCAGTGTTAATCCCAAAAACTAAATATAAATTTTAACTGAGACAAATACAGTGGCACATTATCCTATGGGAAAAAAGGGAAATTGCCTAGGGCGACCACCAACAGAGGACCTCAAACCAACCTATTATGAGAAAATATTTCCCCAAAAAAATTCCCTCAAAGAAAAATGTCTGAAGTCAATACTGAACATGGGGCACCTAATTCAAATTTGCCCAGTGGTGCATTATGGCTCCATGAAGCTATAATGCACCACTGGGCAAATACAATCGACCCCCCTATAACACTGTTGATAATTCCATTTTATATGAATTTCATGTTGTAAGAGTCACTTAGATTTTACAAATATGTGTGCCAGGCTGTGAACAGCCCACATATTTGTAAAATCTAAGTGGCTCGTACAACATGAAATTCATATAAAATGAAATTATCAACAGTGTTATGGGAGGGGGTCGACTGTAGTTATTTACTTTATTTAATTATTCAGTTATATTAAATATTTGCCTAATTTACATAATGTGTTTTGATTGTTTTCTCTTTTAAAAAAGGAAGAACGTGACAAACAAGTCAGGCAGACGCACAAATATAAAATCATACAACTGAAACAAAACACTTCTTATAATCCAAATTTTCATGATTAAAATTAATGCAATGCGAGGAGATTCACTATTCAAATAACAGTATTAGAAACTAACCAAATGGTATAAATAGTTATTGTGCAAACTTCATTAAAATATCATCATTAATAAACAATACAATTCATACAAAAATAAGAAATAATCATTTGCTGTTGATGTAGATAATTTTGATCAGAATATTTCTCAATCATTGCATTTCTACAAGGGTGCACAAAAAATA